TTAGGCAAAATATCTTCACCTCTTTTTATCACCAAGATATTTTCCATCCAAATTGCCTTTTTATCACCAAGATATTTTCTATCCAAATTGCTATCACCAACTTGCACAAACTTATTCAATATAGAATAGCCATAGCTTCCAACCGCATTGTCATTAGTTTCCAAATCCTTAATCTTTGCATTACCTTCAAATTTTTGGATACCTTGGCCTTCTATAGTAATAGTTTGGAAAATATCTTTCTTCTTTCCTTTACCACTTTTGGTATAAGATCCAATTTCTTTCATCTGCAAAGAATTGGCTTCTCCTTTATAGTACCTCACTTGCTCTTCTATTTCTCTTTTTTTAAGATTAGTCCCTTGTATTGATAAAGATGACATAGAAGCCAAAGTAGAAGATTTCTTAGGCCATATTGTAACTTCTTTAGCTTTTTCTTCTTGTTGCTTTGCTAAATCAACCACTACTTTTTTCAACTTCTCTCAATTATCAGTACAATCATTTCCTGTAGACTCACCTACAAGAAGTATGAAAAGCTCATCTCTCAAGGCATCATCAAGACCATTTAAAAAAAAATCTACATTTAAAATACTCAATGATCGTCTCTCTGAGGATGAGAGTTGATAAAATCTCCTATCAAATTCTTCCAAGAATTCATAAAGATCCATATGCTTCCCTGATTGAAACTCTATCCAATTCAAAAACTTTCACTTGGTAATCCTATCTTCATATCCATCAATAAATTCTTTCTTTAAAAGTTCTTGAAATTTTGACCATGTTTCTATACCCCCTTCAAGCAATCCCTTCACCTTTATATGAAATCTAGGTTCAAAGCCAAATGTAAGCTTGAAATCATCTTTGTCTCAGGGATTTGGCATGTCTCGATCTCACATGTATAAACTTGCAAAAGCTTAGTGATGTTGCATCCTTCAAACCTCCCAAATTTGTTGATGACTCCTTGCAATGCCCTCCTGATATCTTTTTCAATTGCTTTCATTCTTTGTTGCTCCTCCATGAATATATAGAAAGCCTTAAAAAACTCACTAATATTTGATTCATCCATAATATTCGACATATCCAAAAACCTTGATGACACATCTTCTATTTTATTCTACAATGATCAAAAATGTTCTTTGAAATGCTCCAATAAATACCTTATGTTACTTTTAAATGCTCCAACATATCTATAAAGCCTTATAATACTCTATGATATTCCAAATATTGCCATTGTGTTTTAAAATAGTCTCCAAAGTTCCAAGAATCCAAAAGTTTGAATTTACATATCACCCAAAGCACTTCTTCTAACTTTCTTGTCTTTCTTCTCCAAAATTCAAATAATCTAAGAAAACTAAATTCCTTCCACCTTAAGCGTTTCACATCGGGTTCACCAAATATGTCGTAATATGTGAAGTCTTGCTTGAGAATGCTCCGAGCACCTGGCTGTGGAAGGAAGAATGGAAATTGTAATAACAAAATCTTAATTCTAATAGAATACTAACAATTCTCTAATCATTCCATAATAATGCTATGCAAGCTTAATCAAATTCAAAAAAACTTCAAAGAAATTTCAAACAAACAATAAGAATTTTTAAAGAAATATTAGAAGGATGACAAATATCACTCAAATATATCTCAATTCAATCTTAATTTAATTCTAGTTAAAATCCTATTGAACTTCATTCAAACTTTAGGCCAAAAATAATTGAAACTTAAATCCTAATAAAATCCTAAATCCTAAATCAAACCCTAAACAAACCTTAAACCAAATCCCAATCAAATCCTAAACCAAATCCTAACCAAATCCTAAACCCTAAATCAAATCCTAACCAAATCCTAAATCCTAAATAAAACCCTACACAAATCCAAAATCCTAAATAAACCCTAAAAAAATCCTAAACCAAATCCTAAATCCTAAATCAAACTCTAATCCAAATCCTAAACCCTAAACCAAATCCTAGTAATTCCTACAATAGATTTAAACCTCAATAACTAATGAGTAACCATTGATCTTAATTCAAATTTTTCATACTTCTAAAAAAATAAGTTAAAAACAAGCACAAAAAAATTGAAAAGGATCGGAGTTACCAAATTGATGATAACCTCAAAAATGTGCTCGGGTATTGGCCGGCCTCCTTCTCCAATCTTGATGCCAATCTTCCAGAACCAATATCTCTCCTTTGCACCGTTCGATTGATTAAAAACTTCTCATACACCTAGAAATTCAAGTCTAATTTTCTCTCATATAAGTTTCACTCCAATCCAACTAGTAGATTGCAAGAAAACTTAAAAATCCCCACTAGACCTAAAATTCTACTTTCTGAGACCTTGAATCACTTAAATCTCAATATTCCTCAATTCAATCATTGGATCAAGCTCAAATTTACAATACATATTAAACACAACTATAACCATAAACCCACAAAATTTCACCCATAGATCTATTACAAAACTCTTGAAATTATCCAAAATGTAAATCCTATTTTATTTCATAAAACCCAAGTCATCCGAAACAAACCTTGACTTTGTAAAGCTCTTACAAAGTCATATCAGCTCCAAATCACCCAAAATTAATGCCCATAGAAACCTTATCCAATCTTCTCTCAAACCTCACACTCCGATCTGCCAAAGAGTCCCGGAGTCGTCGTAGAGACTCAGTTTTGTGCCTTAGGGTCTGATTTCGACCTTGGTTCATAACCGGCCCTCTCTAAGTATCAACATCTAGTTTTTTTAAGTAATTTTTACTAGAATTTACTCTTAACTTTCTCCTAAAGATGTTTATATCATTTATTTTTCCAATCTATCTTATTTTGCCTTATTTTTGGCCCTACAAAGTAAGTAGAAGCTATTTTTTTTAAAAGGGCAGCATTACTACTAAAAGTTTTACTACCTTCCTATCTTTTATCCATATTTTTCTATGTTTTCTTTTAACTTGGCTCTTCTATAATAAGATCCATATTATCATCTTTCACTTTGTAGTCATGTTACAACACGACACCGTGATAAACTATTTAGCACAATATGTTATCGTCCTTATTTGTACTCAAGCTAGATATCAAAAAGCTACAACTATTCTTTCCAACGATGACGCCACAATTTCATATTTTCCAAGTGCAAATCATGTAGCAAGGGTCGATTGTTACAAATCATTTTTTGCCATATCAAAAATATTAGTTTGATTAATTATTGGTTTTTTGGTCAAATCAATATTAAAAAATATATAATTTATTGGATATTTTGATTGCAAAATTTTAAAATTCAAATCAAATCTTAAATATAAGAATAATTTTTTTACCAAAAAATTCTTAAAAAATAAATTTAATCTTGTTGGCTATCTAATTTTTTGAAATATAATATTTATTTAATTTATTTCAAATTAATAAAATACATGTTGGTATTTTTTATCACATAATCTAAACAATTTTGAGTAGAAAAAGTCTATAAATATATATAATATTTATTTATTAATTTATATATATATATATATATATATATATTTATACACAAAATTTTAAAATCATATTAGAATGATTCAATATCTATTTAAAATTAAAAAGCTCTTAAATGATAATTCATATGTTTTGTCTTATGCAACATTAAATTACAAAGTCTATAAACTATATTCTAAAAGTGCATGATTTATAATATAAGATTTTGAATTTCTTTTTTGTAGAAATATTATATATTACTGACTTTTTGTAGTATTACCAAGATATTTTAAAACAAAAGCCTAAATTTTAAACACTTATATCACATTACAAGTTCAAAAAAGAATTGATATAAAAGTAAATATTTTTTTTTATAAAAAAAATATACATATGTATATATATATAATTTTTTTTCTTGAAATTGTAATTTTTTTAACTAATTTTTACAAGAAATGTATATTATTTTATTTTTTAACTATAATTTCTTAATAATTTTATTTTTTATTAGCTCAAAATTTTAAATTTTAGAAATAAAGTTATAAATTAAGTATTTTTTCTATTAATGGTGAATTTTGGTTCAACTTATAGAATTAGAATTTTATTGTTTATTCATGTGGTATACAAAGTTTTACAATATATTTTATTGAACCTTTTTCTTAGTTGCTTTATCTTTTAAAAACACTAAGGATCAAAATTATATTGTACTTTGATTAATTATTTATTAAAAATAATATTTTTCATACTATGTTAACTTCTTCTTAGATTATATAATTGATCAGCATTTTTTAAATGTCATTTGTAGCTTAATCTCATTTTCTATAGATGGATATTTATTTATTTATTTATTATATCAATCTTTAATAGTGCATCTCTTGTAGTTCATACTTACATATATATTCAAAATTCATTTCCAACTTCCCATTAGGAACTAAAAATATTGATTTTAAAATTTTTAATGTGTATGTTTCTATATATGCATATTATATAATGGAATTTTAAATAGATCCATGTTTTTATTAAATTGACTCACCCATCATGAAAAAAAGACATCTAGATTTATTTCTCCATTATTGGATCCAAAACCAATAAAAACCAACCACATTCATAATGATTATCATATTCTTCATCATAGATAGATCAATTTAGTAAAAACTTGGGTCTATTTAACATTCTCCTAAAAATGTAAAATATACATATAATATATAAATTACTATTGTTAAATATAACAATCAGAGTGAAATTGATGACCTAAGTTTTAGATAAAATTACTACTTTGAAATAGCATCAGGACAATCCTCCCCCCCCCCCGATTTGAACCAATCAACAACACAAAGTTCCGTCCATCCAGTGGACGAAGAAAAGGAGGACAGACGAATAACGAAGCCCCTTCTGCGGGGCTTTGCTCCTCATTTTAAAGCTCCTCTCGCAGCGGGGTAAACTGTTTGAAGAAGAAGTACTTCTATTGTATGCCCATGAATCCGCACGACATCTGAAGGTCGCTGCGTGTGAAAATTTCCACGCTTATGCACGCTTTTCGAAACCGTTGTGGGTCCTTCTCATGCACCCTTTTTTCAGGTTTTTTTAAGCTTCGCTGAGTTCGTTTTTTGGGACTAGCAGGGGAAGTTTGAGTTTTCAATCGCTTCTGTTTCGTCGCCTTCTTGTGGGTTTACGTGTTTTGTGTGACTTTAGGCTACGTTGCAACGTTGTGCGTGGTTGTAGAGGTCCCTTCATTTTGGTTTAGGGTCAAGTTGCCGTGAATTCTTTTGTATAACGGAGTTGCTGTGATGAGTTCGCAGTCGGTCTGATTTAGCTGAAAGCGTTGAAGACGATTGCGAAGGGGGATTAGGTCTGTAGGAAGAGCCTGGAGAACCACTGCGGGATTCGTAATGTCGGGCTTCACAGGATTCGGCACTTCTTCACAGAGTACGCCAACTGCGTTCTCTTTCGGAACGTCTTCAGCGCCAGCATTTGGTTCTACCGCGGCAGGTAGTACTCCTGCAGCAGGGGGTAGCCTGTTTGGAGGGTCGAGCGCGCCCTCGTTTGGTTTTGGAGCCTCGCCTGCTGCGTCTTCGGGCGGGGGTTTTGGATCGTCCACGTTTGGAAGCACTGGCCTGTTCGGTGGAGCTTCCTCTTCCTCATCCCTCTTTGGCGCCAGCCCCACTCCCGCCTTTGGAACTCCAAGTTCGCAGGCTGCATCTGCAGCATCGCCTTCTCCATCACCCTTCGCATTTGCTCAATCCTCAGCTACTCCTAGCGCAAGCTCTCCAGCTCCCTCTCTGTTCGGAGCTTCCCCCTCTCCTTTCGGAAGCACAAATGCTCAATCCTCTGCTACTCCCGCAGCCTCTTCGTCTCCGTTCGGAGCTTCTCCCAGCACAGGGTCAGCTTTCTCGGGATTCGGAGGCTCGTTTGGGAGCTCTGGATTTGGGTTTGGTGCGACCCCATCTTCAGCAGCGTCAGCGGCAGCAACTGCCCAGTCTTCAGGTACAGCTTATCTTTCAGCTACATGTTCTCAATGACACTACTTGGTTACTTCTTCATAGCGAAAATCTTGATCCCCTGATTATGCTCGCCAAACTAACGAGTCAGTTGTGTCTGATTAATGGCACTCGCATCAGTTTATGCGTGCTTGGGTTCGTGAAAACGTAACATGCACAATAACTATCAAGAACGTAAAATCTGAAGATGCAACAATAATGACAAGTGTAGGAGGTTCCGGTTGAACACAATTCTGATTCCTCTTCACGTATTTCAAATTGTAAGTATACTTTGTAGGACGGGTAAAACTGGGGTGATAAGGGTTTATAGTTTGCCCTGCTTTGGAGCATGAAACATCTGTGAATGAAATCCCTCACGTGTATGAAGAAGTGATCATTGAGTTCTTGTGTCGCTTCCTGGTTTGGTGGCATATGGGATTTGCGTCCGATTAGATAATTAGATGGAGACATCGACACTTTCTACACAGAAACCCAGGACTTACAAGATCAAGACTCGCGTTAGATAATTAACTGATAGGTTCTTTCTCTCTAGTATGCTTCATAATATCAATGGTCTTGTTCGTAACTCTAAGAACGACGTTGCAGGTGCATCATCGGGTTTCGGCGCAAGTTCTCTATTCTCAGGCAGCAAGCCTGCTACCCCAGCGTTTGGCGCGATGACTCCCCAGTTCGGCGCTTCTTCAAGCGCTTCCACTACTCCAGGTTTTGGTGCCTCTTCGTCTGCATTTTCTTTATCTCAATCAACCCCTGCAGCGACACCTTCTGCCTCTCCTCCTGGATTTTCGTTCGGGAATATTACGAGCCCTGCCCCCTCCTTTGGGTTTGGCGCTCAATCAACCCCCGCTACAACCCCCGCAGTGTCCTCAGCAGCAGCCTCAACTCCTTTCGCTGGATTTTCATTCGGTTCGAGTGCAGCAACATCGGCTGCCTCGGCAACTCCGGCCACTAGCTCGGCTTTCGGCGCATCAACCACGACCCCAAGCCAACCCCAAGCTTCTTCTTCCTCTCTCTTTGGCAGCTCTACATTTGGATCTACGACTTCATCCTCTTCCGCACCGTCGACGTCCTCCTCTTTGTTCAGTATGTCTACTCCTTCCACACCTTCCTTTTCGCTCCCTGCCAGCACCTCAGCCACATCCTCCTCTGCTTCTGCATCTACTCTAAGCTTTCCATCATCTATAACATCAGCAGCTGCTGCAAGTACAACTCCTACCGCTTCAAGCGGGTTTGGTTTCGGAACTTCGACTCCAGCTTCATCGGCAGGTAAGGATCCTCTGTCAATTGGATGCGAGTCGTAATTACTTGAGATTTCATGTGTTCATTCTCAGCCTAACATGTATTTTCTAGATCGTCGGTTGATTAGGGTTGGCTCTCTCTTCTTAGCATCTTGCGTTTCGTGTCGAAGTTTTTCTTAGAGTCTTAAATCATATGTATGCTTGGACGTCTACAACCTGCAGCTTCTTAGGAACTGTTCATTACTTTCTGCTCTTTTTCGAGTGTTTGAAGTGTCCCCCTTAGTCCTCAGGTGCACTTTTTGGGTCTACTCCAGCATCAACCCAGGCATCTACCCCGGCCTCCTCGGGAGGTTTCTCTTTTGCGGGGGCCGCACCTGCGTCTAGTGCAAGTGGTGGATTTAGCCTCAGTTTGCTTGCCAAGACGTCTGCAGCCTCTACTCCTGCAGTTTCAGCAACAACTACCCCTAGCACTGGTAAGTAAAGCAGCGTCCTGCACTGTACTCCCCATCGAAACAATTTAGCATGATAACACCCTGCTTTATTCTATCTACATTCTGTCTTTTTTTTTTTCTTTTTTTTTTTTTAATCTTTCTGTATAGAGTAAACACTCAAGAGGTTGCCTGCTTTGCTACTTAGCCTTTTCGCCGTAATAGGTGATAGAGTTAATCGTTCAGTGCTTCTATTGATCACTTTCATCTTTCTTGTGGCTTAGGGTTTGGGATGGGAACCGGTTTGGGATGGTCAAATTTGTCAGCTGGTCCAGCAGCCGCAACTACTCCTGCAGCGACCACAACAGCAGCCACCTCCACAACCACTTCGACCTCAACTGCAGCAACCTCAACTGCCGGGTACATAACCTTTAACTATATTTGGAGGGAGAGATCCATCCACTTCAGAGGAAACTGCAGATAAAATTGGACACTGGAGTCTTGGATAACCGTATGTATGGGGTTATAGTTTAGCACGTGATGTCGATGTGAATATGATTCTTAAGAGGTTCGAGACCGTGGCTGGTAGTTGTGATTGTGCTTGAGGAGATTTGTTGAAAAAAGATAAAGCTATTTAGTACCATGATCTGATCACTTCTCCCCGTGCAGAACGTCTGAAGCTCTCACCAGTACACCTGCACGGACACCAAAGCCTCCGTCAGAAATTGTTGGAAAGACTGTGGAAGAGGTAGTTCTCACACTATCTTCATTTGTATTCATAACTTTTTTCTGACCCTTCACATGAAGCATATTGAACTCTTGTGGATTGACATCACCTCCAATGATCCAGTGCGTAATCAATCTCGTTTTTTTTTTGTTCCTAGTGCTTTATTCATAGCTTTGTTGACCTGGAGTTATTGATATCATCAAGCACTCATATGAGGCTTTGATATATGTTGTAGATCATCAAAGAGTGGACTCATGAGCTTCAAGAACGGACATCAAAGTTCCGCAAACAGGCAGAAGCCTTGGGCGAGTGGGACCGACGAATTATTGGGAATCGGAACCTGTTGATCAAGCTTGAGGTATAGCGTGCGCCAGCTGCCATTACTGCCTTAAGATATGCTTTGTTCCCCTAGACCCTAAGGCATACTCTTTCTCCCATTTTTTCATTGTTGTGAAATATCGCTACCTTCAGCTACTAGAGCTCTTTATGGATTCATCGCCCAAAATCTGCTCAAGAGAGTTCTCGAGTATTTGCCATGCGTAAACTTGTTTGACAATGTGTGAATTGGCAGTTTATTATATCTCATGAACATGATTTCAGTGTCTGAAACGCACCATCGTATTTTTATGCGTCTGTTATACTCTTAAATGTTCTTCAGACTTCCTGCAGCTGGTGTTACATTCATTGATGAAAGGAAAGAGGTTTATTTTGTTTTAAATTCTTCAATCATGTTTTACACGAAGCAATAGGTATTGACTTGATGTTATTGTGCCTTCAGAGTGAAGTTGCTACTGTAGTGGAATCACAACACAGCCTTGAACGACAATTGGAACTTATTGAGACTCATCAACAGGAGGTACCTGTAGCCTCTAGCTTTTGGTTAATGCTTGAACGGGTCCGCTTGGGAGAGTATTTTTAGTATTCTCAAGCTATCGAACGCATGTTGAATTGGTCGTGGAGCATCTTTATAGCTGATGCTGAGTTTACATGTTCCTTCATGTTTGAGGTGTGTTTAAATAGCTGAATCGCTCCCCCTTTTTTTTGAAGGTGGAGAAATCACTGGAAAGCATGGAAGAGGAAGCTGAAAAGCTATATAGGGATGAGCGTCCCAGTTTATTGGAAGATGAAGCTGCTGCTACTCGTGATATGATGTAAGTAATGCTGGAATATTTGTTACTGATAGTTTTCCTTTCTCAACTATATTTTTGGTTGTTACTCCAGGCCAGATAGATGTTCTTGTACAACTGTGTCATCTACAATCCACCTTGGTTATGGAAAAGTGCATGAGATTACAAGTTTTTTATGACCTCTTCCTAGGGTTCTGTTTCGAAGTCACTAAACACTCGCAATAGTGTGGGATTCTAAGGAAGTTTCGTCTCGCCCACAACCTGATTAGTCCTCAGATTATTTTATCAAGCCCTTTGAATCGCAATTAATGAATTGTAAACATATGGAGCAGGTTTGAGCAAGCTGAGTTTGTGGAGCGTGAGCTTGAAAGAATGGGCGAGCAGATCAAAGAAACGATTCAGAATATTAATGCCGCCCAGGTAAGAACTCATCCAAATCTGAACTCGATGTTAATATGCTCCTGACACTGCTGAAGTGAAACAGATATCTCACTTGCCGAGGTTACTGATCTTGTTTTGCAGGGCGGAGACTTGGATATTGCAGAAGGAGCTAGTCCTTTGGATTTGGTTGTCCGCATTTTGAACAACCAGTTGACATCGCTGCTCTGGATTGACGAGAAGGTAGAAAGAATCTGAACTATCATTGAGTCATTGCCTTCTCTCTCTCTCTCTCTCTCTCTCTCTCTCTCTCTCTCTCTCTCTCTCTTATATATATATATATATATATATAAACCATTCATGCCCAGATAATGTAGTATTATTTCTCCGCCTTTCATTTTTACGTAACTGGTATGTAGCAACTGCACATGATGCGATTATGTATTTGTTTGTGTACTGCAGGCTGGAGAGCTTTCAGGCCGTATGCAATCTTTTGCTGACCAGGGTGCACTTCTTGATAAAGGACACAGAGGATCTCGTTTGCGTGGAGCCTAAACGAATTGAAATGAGTTTAATTTAGAACAGGCTGCGTATTCTGCACAATTAGCTGTTAAAATTTCATGTTGATGAACTAGTTTCAGATATGGTGCTACGAAGGACATATAAGTCATCCTTACAGTGACGAATATTCAAATCATTCTTACAGCCATATCTATGTTGGTAGGTAGGAGCTATGTAGTCTGATACCAGTGAGACGCACCGATAACTGTGGACTGGAACTGGGAAACTCACCTTTTTCATAGTCATGTAAATTCAGGGACGCCCGCACATGGGAACCTGGATCTGCGGTGAAAACTTATTCAAAATTCTTACTTGATCAATGCTTTCAACTTCAGTAGAGGCTATCAAATATTTGGTTTTTTTTCGCTCGTGAACCCAATTGATTGATTAGTTATGCTTAGCTACAAAAGACTTTTTACTGTTAATATCATTGGATGCTCGTTCCCTTGAGGTCAGGTCATGGCGTCTTTATCTTTACATTCATCTATTCCGAGGGAAACAAAAGAATACATGGCGTAGAACTCTCCTTGTCTGCTGTCCACCAGTATCGAGTTGTGCCCATAATTTGAGCACATCGGCAGTTAGAAGAATTGGACACGCCACCCTGGGAGTCCAAAGTCATATTGGTACACTGAAGTGAAACGGAGAGAAATTGTTCCTTTTCTATTATCTGTTTAAGCGGAATCGTCCTGGCCGATGGTCGCAGTGCATCGAGGCTCTCTAAAGTTTGTGTGGTAGACAGAGTGGTACTAGTGAGAGATTGTTCAGATCGTTTAGGATAATTTGCCGATTTTTCTGTGAAGTTGTTGCCGCCGGTACCTGGTGCTATCGATCCGACCTTCGTTGCGCAGGATTGAAGGAAGTCATGGCGACGTGTGTGAGTAGTAGCGTCGCTCTGCAGTCAATCGAGTTGAACGGCAGTCGATTAGAATCTTCACCTTCTCCCAGTTTCTCACCATTGCCTAAACTCTTTCAAGTACCCAGATGTTTCAGGGCCAAGGGACTTAAGGTGAGGGAAGATTGTTGCACACGGAAAGCCAGGTACATTGTAGTGAGGGCGACGTCGACAGGGGAGGGAGTGTCGTCTCCATCATCCAGCTCCACAGATGTTTTCAAATCCCTTGAGGCTGTTGTGGTGACTAAGAACGGGGAAGCTGTGAAAGATGAGCTTGATAAGCTCATGGAGCAGGGCCAGACGAAGTTATGGAGCTCGTCGGCAAACATCTCGAGGCGCAACACATTTATGACAGAGCTCACTAGGTTGGGGATCAAGAACGCTGAGGAGCTCGCCATCCCCAGCGTTCGCAATGACGCGGTGTTCCTCGCTTCTGTGGTTGGAGTGACGAGTGTTATCGCCGTAGCTGCTGGACAATTGCCTGGCGATTGGGGTTTCTTCGTACCGTATCTCGTGGGCTCTCTCTCTCTTGTGGTGCTCGCTGTCGGGTCAGTGGCTCCCGGTCTATTCCAAGTGGTGATTGACAAGTTTTCCTCTACGCAAGGTGATTACAAAGAGAGGATTCTTCGCCACGAAGCGGCTCACTTCCTGACCGCGTACATGGTAGGACTCCCCATTGTGGACTACAGCTTGGATCTCGGCAAGGAGCATGTCAATCTTCTTAACGAAGCGACTGAGAAAAAAATCTATGAGGGTTTGGATTCAAATTTGCTCGACAGGTTGGCTGTGGTGTCCATGGCAGGTACTAAATGTATTCTGACACGCTGATGTTCTTGAATCCCCTGGAATGCGTGATGTTATCGCTATTTTATCATCAATTACGCCCTTATCCTCTTTCGTTCCATAGTTTGTGGCTGGTATCGACCTAATGTCAGCAGATGCCGGACCTTGTAGTCTATTATTTGTGCTGGATCCCTTGAAATTGAGCATCTCATGCGGCTGTTGCCTTTGCTTTACTCATTCCAGTAAAACGCTTCTCATCGACAATCGAACTTAATGTGGGCATGATAGGTTTGGCGGCGGAGGGCTTGAAGTACGACAAGGTGATGGGGCAGTCAGCTGACCTGTTCTCCTTGCAAAGATTGCTGAACAGGAGCAAACAACCATTAAAGAATGTGGAGCAGCAGAATTTGACGAGATGGGCAGTGTACTACGCAGCTTCTCTCATCAAAAACAATGCCAAGGCATATGAAGCTCTTATGGAAGCTATGGCGAAGCAACTCTCAGTTAGTGAGTGCATCAAAGCTATAGAGCAAGCTTAGGTGATGTAATTCGTTTCTTAAAAAAATTCTCGTTTCGCTTATTTATTCTTTGATTTTAGAGTAGCAGTTGGGCAATCTGTACGAGTACCATGATAGAAGTCAATCAGTGGCTCGATTTTGTATGTTGTGCGAGATGAAACTATTTCCACCAATTACGTGAGGACGACAAATAATTTTGTATTTTGGAAATGCTGTCGTCCATTGTGAAGATTTGTATAGGGTAAGGTAAAGATTGAAGATTCGTTTGTTGTTAGCAAACAAGAATTTCAATAGATTTTGGTCTAGTAAGCACTTCCTGTCGAGTTGGTTCATGATCCTGAGCCCCTTCACAGTTTACCGTCTCTTTCACTTAAATAGGTTATCCAGATGTTGCATTTTTCAAGACAGTCTGGCTTTGGCGAAGCAGTATTGGAAAAAAGAATAGTTTTTGTACTTAGATGAGAGTAGATTTGCTGTATTCTTACAAAACTCTAGGTTTACAACTTGACCCTATTAGTTAACCTTCTCTCTTTCAAGAAACCACATCTTCATCAAACGAATGCAAAAGGAAATATAAATGAATCTCAGTACAAAGAGATCAGTAGCTGGTTTCAACTTGTCCTTAACACATTTGAACAGCTGCCTTGAAGTTATCCACCACAAAATCACCGTCTCTCATTGGCCACTGTAATAATACAACCTAACATTTAATAATACTATCTACTTCATTTTTTCATTTTTTGATACAAATGGGGTGGACCCATTGCCTGGATTAAAAGAAAGGTGAAACAAGCATCTTATGTATTGAAATATCATAAGAATGGATGAGTTTAGGAGCATTGTATTTTACAAAAACTAATTCTATTGAACGATAAGACATCTACCTAAAACTTTAATGTTTCACCTAATTAACAAGTCATTTCTAATTCTCATCACATTGTTGGCCATCCTATATTTGCTTCATCTTCTTAAAATCTATCACTTTGGTTTGAGAGTTTCTTAAGTTTAGCTAGTATTTCTTAGTAATAAATGTAATCATAATTAAATAATTTAAACTACACCAATTGTCTAATTTTCTTGTTTTTCCAAGTTTATTGATTAAACACCAAGACATATTATTTATATCTTTAGTTTCTATAGGTGTATTTATCAAAATAATGTTATATAGTTTAAAATATTTTTTATGTAGAACTTTGTTGTGTAAATAAAGATTGTCACACACAACATATTGAGGGCCATAAATCAATCACAAAGTATGCAAACTAAACCAAATACAAATGCACAACCAACACACTTTTAAGAAAAAGATGGTGAATCTATATACAACTAAGCCAAGCTATCTTTCACACCATAAAGGAAGAATCCAAGGCTACAAGTGTAAATAGAAGAAAATCCTAAAGCTTTAATAGATAGCTAAATCATCATAGCCAAGCAAATCCTTATAATACAAGTTTTCTCTCTCTCAAAACTACTTACAATACTTGACTTGACAAGAATGTTAAATCAAGGGGATTTCTCTACCAAAATCTTCAAATTCTATTTGATATTAATAAAGTTAACTAAGAAAAAAAATAAGTGGATAAAAAAACCACTAAACCAAAGTAAATTATATACATCTAACAAGATTTGGCACCCAATGTCATGTCAAGTGACAACTTAGTTATTTTGCCAAAATATTGTGTATTTCTAAGTATGAAAGCTATGGTTGCTATCTATGTAGATTAGTAGCTATCTAAAAAAATAAAAAAAAAGTCGCCTAATTCTATAACTACAAGTTTAAGTAAAATTCTAAAAGTTATAAAGTATTAGTTGTGGTATGTGGAGAATATGCATGCCAAAATATATATAAATATTTGTATTAGTTTACCTTTTTTATTCATTTGTAACAAATCCATGATATCAAATCAACTAAATTAGTATAGATTTTACTTTTGCAAAATGTTAAACTTGTCTAAGATATATTGGAATGTTAGAGATTGAAACATAGCTTAAAAGTATATCAATCTTAATATCTAATGTATAGCCTTTTGGTTGGTCCATATATATCTCGTCTTCAAGATCTCCATTCAAGAATGTTGTCTTGATATTCATTTCATGAACTTCCAAATCTTCAACTGCAAGTAGTCCAAGAAGTGTACAAATTGAGGTCATTTTTGTCACTAGAGCAAAAGTCTTATTATAATCAATACCTTCTTTTTGCACATAACCTTTTGCAATGAGTCTTGTCTTGTAGTATTCTATTGAACCATTTGTATTATATTTGATCTTAAAAATCCATTTGCAATCAATTGATTTTTTGTTTACTTGTAATGGTATCAAAGTCTAAGTCTTGTTGTCAATGAGACTATGGTGTTCTGAATCCATTGCTTCTTTCTACCTTTAAGTATAATTCCTTTCCATAGCTTCAATGATAGTAGCTGGTTCTTTACTATTTGTGTCAAAAGCATGTACTATACATGTTGAAGATATGATTGACTTGAAAAGAATCCAAGCCAATGTTGATTCATTAATAACTTATTATTGTGCCAAAAGTCGAGCTCTTATACACATCATTATAAGTAAAGATGGAGGTGGAGGTGAGATTGGAGGTGGGTTTAAAACTTTCCACAACTATAATAGGAGTTTGATTAAGGACATATGTTGCAATATTAATGGTTTTTTCTCACCATGCATTTGAAAGTTGTTTATGCTATAACATATACCTCGCACTCTCAAATAATGTTTGATTCTTGCATTCTGCAACTCCATTTTGTTGAGGCATATAAGGCATTGAAAATTGTCTTTCAATGCCATGTCGTTCACAAAACTGTTTGAAGGCCTTAAATGTGTACTCTCTACCATTGTCATTACATAATTTTTGAATCTTAAAGCCTATTTTTTTCTCAATTAAAGCCTCAAAAATCCTAAAATTATCCAAGACTTCAAACTTTTGTTTCATGAAATATATAAAAAAAATTCTTGAAAAATCATCAATAAAGTAATAAAATATTTTGTTCTTCTATGATATGTTATCTTTATAGGACAATTTACATTGGAATGTATCAATTTGAAGAGTTTTGTTGCATGAGTACCATCTTTTGTTGGAAAAGCATCACAATATTATTTTTTATAAATGCATCCCTCACAAAACTCTAACTTTGTGTCCTTGCCTATGTCTAGATGAGTGACCATATGACCTGCTTGTAGTTTGTTCAAGCCCAAAATACCAAGAAGACTATATCATTGATGCTAGACATCAGCCTTGTTCAAAATTTGTTTTATCTCAATAACAAGAAAAGTCTTTTTTTATCTTCATCTAAAGATTCCAATAGCTTGTATAAGCTACTATGTCCAACACCTTTGATGGTTGTATTGTCTCATTTCATGAGACATATATCAGCATTAATCTTTGCAACCTTGATCCATTATTTTGCCAACAAAAAGAAAATTCTTGGCTAATCTTTCAACATGTAAGATATCATGTACATCCTTGCAAACATTGTTTAGAAATTGGAAAGAAATCTTATCATTATTTTTGATAGCAAGTCCAGTATTATCGCCTAAATAGACTTTAGAGCCTTTTGATAGATTTTTGTAACTTAAAAATGAACTTTGATTTTTGTCATGTATTGAGAAGCACCAAAATTGATATACCATTCTTTATCACTTATAGTAACAGATAACGCAACTACAAAGACAGATTTATCATCCTTTCGATCTTTCTTATCTATTGTATTAACTTGCTCTTTTTAAAAATTCTTCTTTAATTTTTTTGACTTTGTGTCCTTCTCTTTAGTCCAACACTCTTTCTCATAGTGACCTTTCTTTCCACAATATCTGAATTTGACATCTTTCTTGTGATTATGTGAAGACCTTGCATAAGTATGAATATGAGAATGTGACTTGGATTTTCTTTCCATAGCCAATGCTGTCTTGGAGGTTGATTTGACATTCTTGTTGTGAGACTCTTGCTATAATAGTTGAGTTGTGATCATTTGTAATGTTAGTTTTGCTAGAGGTCTTGTTCCTAGTATCACTATCAATATCCAATATGATTTCAAAAGACCTCCTAGTAATGCCATTATAAAGTATGTATCAAAAACCTTCTCACCAATAGAAGAAAGTTACTCAACTATCTCCTATAGCTTATATATATATGCATGATAATGCTATCACCTTTACTTATTTGTATGGTCAAGAATCCACAAATCAAGTATAATAGACTCAAAGTATTTTTTTTTACCTTGTATGTTGCTTCCATACCTTGCCATGCTACTTGTGCGCTTTCTATCTTACTCATGGTCAAAAAATTTGTACCTGTAAGATATAAATAAATTATAAATAATGCCCTTTGGTCTATATCTTTCTATTTTTCTAACTCTTCTAGATCTACAGGTAATTCAATAGATTTTTTATATTTTCCATAAAAAAACCTTCCATAAATCCTTATCAATGAAGACAAATTGGATTTTTTCCTTCTACAAGTGTCAATTGTCTCTATCATGTTTTTCTATAATATAGTACTCCATTGCCATCTTACAAGAAATATGCCCCGAATACAAGGAATTGGAAAAATAGAAGAAGAAATAGGAGGTGAATAAAAATGAGATCTAGGTAAGATTTTACAGTTACTTGTAGACTTTTTGAATATTAATAAAAAATATCAAAGAATTTTTAAAAATTTCTAAAATATTTTTAAAATATATAAAATTGTATCACTAGCAGTCTCAAAAACAATTAATTCAAAATTCCAAAAATTGTGATTTCTAGAGCTTTCTATATGAAACTATGTCCAAAAACTTGAAAAAAAATAAAATAAAATAAAATATGGAGCTCCCTAATCTTAGAAGAGTTCTTTGGACTGTACTAGCCATGCTCCCATTGTCAAGCTCCACCACTGCTGCCACGTCCCACCAGATCTTCTCATTGTTGTCATTGAGTCTAATTGCTATTGGTAGGCTCCATAATTGATCTGATTAGATCAAATCAGTAGCTGCAAGCTCTAGCACCTATTACTTGGAGTACTAAAATTTGAAAATGCTCTTTTTCCTTCAAAATTAATGCCTTGTTGCTTCAATTATGAACCACCAAAAATATTAGTGGCTTGAGTTCTTGGCTTATTAGAGGTTTAACTCCTCTCAAGCTAATGCAAAAAATAAAACCTCTTCAAAATTGATCAAAAGATCAAGTCCTGCGAAACAACCTCAATTGATTCACTCAAACTCGTCAAAGGATAAGTCTCGAGTATTTAGGCTCTAATACCATATGAAAAAAATAAAGAAGAAGTATATTTCTAAGATAGAAGTTTTTGAAGCAAATACAAAAGAGTT